CACCATCCTAGACAAGCTGAGGCTCCAGGAAAGACTCAAAAGCAATGGTGCTCAACCGGTCCAGCCCCACAGGCCAGATGAGTGGCTTAGGGCCAATCTGTGAGTTGGACTGTGTGCGAGGACTCAGTCTGCGAGCCTGATCCAGCTTAGGGGCGGTGCACACTGCACAGGGTCAGCAATTAACTCTGCCATCACTCCTCTGCTGCCAAATTTCTGTACCTGTGGGGAGCCCCACAGGCTGGATAACATGGCCCTGTGGACCTGATCTGGCCAGTAGGCCGTAGGGTGAGCACTGCTGCTCCAATTCAAAATATAAAGCGTTTATTTGGTTGTGTATAACGATGCACAGTATTCTCTGTTAATCTGGGGGACAAGAGCTCATTTCCTGACAGGTTGCCCATTACTTCTCTCTCAATAAGCAACAAATAAATGTGTTCACATTTTCTCAAAGAGATTAAAACCCTGCCCAGGTAATAGCATAGGGCTCATTTCATACCTAGAATAAATAATACTCTCTGGGTGAATATGGTTCAGAGAAAGAAAGTGGGAAGGTAGGTATAGTGGAAAGATGAACATGTAAGACCATTTCAAGCACAAAACAGGGATAAGGTTGCAGTGATAATTTTAAAATGAATGCTGTATAGGTGGAAAGGCAAAGATCTCACTAATTTCCTAGCAGCAGAAATATGCTATTACAAGTGCCAGTTGGCCTGACAGGGGTGTTCTTAAGAGGGCTGAAGAAAGGCTCACAGGAAGAAGCTATCAACATCATTAAAAGCAGGTTGAAGTTCCAGGGAAAGCACTATCTGAGGAAGATACACAAATAATGCAGAAGGCACTAGTCATTTAGTTAAACCTGGAGATGACACAATAAGAAAATAAAGGCTGGTCTCTAACAGAGACAATACACAGTAACAGTTACTAAATGAATCTTTAAAAGTAGCTATTGCTGAACTTTTGAGTTTAAATACAGGAACTCCTGACTGCGAGGAAGTTAGCCAGCCCTTGGCTTTTCACCCAACAAGGAAAAAGCATCCACTTAATACTTTGAATTCTTTCTATACCAGACTGCTAGATTGTTCGAAAACGCCACCCACCCCGGTAGTTAGTAGACTACCATCTATGCAATCAGATGAAGTTTCTAGATTCAGATTAATAATTTTCCTTTGTTGCTCAAAAAGGAGGTCTGGGCACAGAGGAAGATGGCCCAGCAATTCTCCAAACAGCAGAAAAACGTCCAGAGACCCAATCTGTGCCATCAGCTTGATATTGGTTCTATCCTCCCCAGAAGGAAAATGGGTACCAAGGGAACAGATAAGTATGCACAGAGTAGATGACTGCTCAAATCCAGCAGGAATGCATCCCAACAATATTTCTTGTCCCTGTGATCCTAGGTAGAGTACAACTGATGTCTGATATTCTCACTCAGTGCAAATAGTTTGGCTGTATCTAGTCACATCTGAAGAGTGAAGAAAGCACCAACCAGTTTAAGGACTATGTCTGTATCTTCCCCACACTGTTCTACATGATACAGTACAAATGGGTGAAAGGGTTGTAAAATACATCTCTAAGTCCTGAATCCCTCTGTCCTGATGTGGAGACAGTCCCTCCAAGTATTCCAGAGGCCATGAACTAGTGAGGTCCAAAGAATGACCACTCAACATTAGAGAGGTCTGCGAAGAATAACAGTAGGAAATGGAAGAGTGAACTCTGCTCACGAGTCAATTATTATCCCTCCCCCCATTCTGCCACCAAAGATAGGGCCATGTCAGCCTATTCATAGTAGCCTGAAATTTAAGGTAGGTTGTTACAATATACACTGAAGCTGAGGTGTCAGAAGTCTAGCATAGTTCTCAGATCATCTATTTGCTTGGGTACTAGGAATATCTGGATTAAAATTGCTTCCTTTGGTGCTGAAGAAGAATCTTCCTTGAAATATCCTCTTTTCCCTCCATTAGAAATTTCCTGAGAGAGGTCCCCCAAAGAGAGGGTGGGGGAGAAAGCCCTGGTGTAAAACTGAACTAACTAGAAGTCTCTGATGGTGTCTAGTAACCGGTAAGTTTAGGTAATCGTGCACCAAACAGGCATCACCAAAGGCTGAAGCAGGAGTGAGCCATCATTTTTTGGTTTGTTTTTTTTTTTTTAAATCTGGAGGTGGCCTGATGATTTACACCACAAATCTCTTTAGTGCTATGTGCTAGCTGCAGCTCTACCCAGAGAATCTAAGGAGTATGTTGAGTTACATGTAGAAGACATGCTCTGACCTTAGTGAGCAAACTCTTAGACCAGTGATGCCCAACCTTCTGTCCCCAGGAGCTGGGTGAGTGGCATGGGGTCTATCCAAGGGCTGGATTCCATATGAGGTTGGTTCACTGTCTTGATCCTGAATTGCCCCAATCTGACCCCATGCTGCCTGGTGCCCCACTAAAGCTGTGCACTGTCCACTGCTCAGATCTAACTTTTGGCTGCCCACCTACTGGACCTGCCAACGTGCTGGGCCATGTTATAGGGCCTACAGGGTTCCCCATGAGTCTGGAAATTTGAAGCAGCAATTAACACTGCTACTGCACAAAATTTCTGGACCCTTGGAGAGCCCCCATGGTCTGGATGTGGCCTGTGGACTGGAAGTTGAGCACCCCTGTCTTAAATGTTTCCATTTGTTCATCAAGTACAAGGGAGGGCTTAGTAAAGGGTTTGGGATTCCCATGGTATGTAGCTATAGCTGGACACAACGGCTATGTGATTTGCCATTCAGTGGCACAAGGATGCAGGAAAAACAGACTTTCTTCCAGCAGTGTCCAATACACTGTCCTGTCTCCCCAAGGCAGCGGTCAAGGATGCTGTGCCCCTTTTGGAGATTTCCTGGGCTCCAGCAATAAAGGACCAGCAGCAAATCAACTGAGTGATGCTGCAACAATTGGGGACCCTTCAAGGGCACAGAATATATATGATCAACTTTTTCTGATGCTGGCAACAAGGACACAAGTGCCAAATGTCTCCCACTGGACCTAGTCATTCTGGGAAACTAATGAATATGACTGTTTTTTGACTGCCATTTGAATGTTTTTGAAAAGGGGATCAGAGCCATATGCTGCTGACCCCATTAATATCTGGAGGGTACAGTGTCACTCATTGTCCCCATCAACTCTTGAAATTATTCCTGTTCATCAGATACTGATGGAAGCCTGATTTCTTCTTCAAGGCATATCCCATTTGAATATTTCTTGATGGGTTACCATTCTGCATAGAATGATAAATTCTCCTTGCAGGTATTGTACACATGTAGATCTACTTCAAAGAGGCAGTGTTGAAAATGTAACAATGTCAGGGTATTTGCAGAGAATTAAATTTGGCTGACCCATGAAAACAGCAATCTAGGAGATAATTGCAAGTGCTTCTAGAGTCAATGTTATCCTTGGAGCAAAGTCAGCATTACTAATTCTGGTGGCATGAAATGCATCCTTTACTGATTACTGAATGTAGGGGCACAACTATTGGGGCAGTGGTCCAGAATAAAGTCTTGCCAGACAGACGGGTTTTTGGCAAAGGAAGCTGTCTAAATGTTCTGCAGCTAACCAAACTTGCCTGCAAGTCTGGTTTTGAAGAGAATCCAAGCTCTCAGGGGATGTACCATATTGCACAGCAGTGTTTGTCACCAATATCAATCATGCAGTGGAGGAGCAGCCGGTGGCTTTACTATCTGCCCCCTTCATCACAAGAGGGAAAAACTGGCTATGTCAAAGGTATGCACACCAATGTAGTGTTCAGACCATTCAATGCTCAATCCTACAAGAGGTGTAGGCTAAAAAAGGCACTAAAACTGGTAAGGAGCCTCCCTACTCAAAGGCAACTTGCATTGGGAGAGAAGAAAATGATGGTTTCTTCTTTTGGGAATCAGAATATTTCCTATTTTCCTCTCCCCAGAACTGGATTATGAAGAAATAGAAAAAGATGCTTCTTACTGACTAGAAAGATTGCTGCCAAATGCTAGAGAATCAAGAGAGCTTTTAGTGCAGGTGAAGACCAAAGTCTCCTAGAGCTGCCTCCATAGAGCCTCAGTCCCATGCAGCAGGTCTGATATCAAGAGCAGCATTGAGGCTGAGTTGGCAATGCCACAACTTTGAAGTCAAGCAAGCACAACAGTGATGTTATTGCAGGGAGGTTCAGTGAGATGGCACATTTCAAGAGTTTTAAAGTGAAAGCCTGGAGGTTCCATATAACCTCACAATGCTCAGAACACAGCATATCCTCCTATTAAAATGCAGGTATAATTGCCTGCATGCAAAAGACGAAGTTGCTCAAAGAAACAATTGCTTATGGCATAAAGCTCAGGTCTGCACCAATTCAAATCCTCATAATGTCTTTCAACAACTTCTGTATCTCCCCCAAATCATTCTAACAGCAGTACTGCAAAAACTTGTTTTATTTACTAGCAACAAAATTAAACAGGCATCCTACTCATTTGGACATAAAACACATCAAGTCCTATGTTCAAGCAAAGGAAATGATATTCATTGTTCAAAATCACATCGTGCTTCACTAGCTTTTATCTGCACACCCAAATACATTTACTGCTTAAAGCTGCAAATGTTTTACTTGGAGTGCAATGGACTGATATTTTTCAGGGATTTTCATACCTATACCTTCTAGGTAGGTAGATGGCACTTTAGGAGAAGCCCCCGCCCAGAATGCTCAGAAATACAGGGGACAAGTGGGGGGGCACGTGCCCCCCGTGAGACTGGCCCCCAAAAGTGGGGCAGTTTTTTTGCTGTGCTTTTTTTGCCACTTTTGGCCCGCCTACAAATTGTGCCCCCCCTCACCCCAAGACTCAGGAGGCACCCGTCAGCCCTGTTCAGAAGATTAATATTATTACTGCATATTTTCAGATAAAGTGTTTATTATTCATGAGGGAAAGATTATTGGTAGTCTCAGTCTCAAGCTTTACATCTTGCTCCCTCAATCAAAATGAATGTGAATAAAGATATAATATTGAAACTCACCTTCCAGAAGTTATCGACCTTTCCATAAACAAGAGACTGATTCTGCCTTTTGATGTCATTAATATGTTTAATGTCGCTGGAATTCAGATGTTGTTCCACCACAAACCCAAGGAAACTATTATCTGGGGTGTGAGCTACAAGAAAGAAAGGAGAGGTCTGTTACATGAAATAACATTTTAAAGGTTTTTAAAAGATGACTATAGTCAGAAAAGTGACTATGGGGGAATATCTTTTTACTCCACAGATCAGCTCTCTACAGGGATATATCTGCTTGCTTTATTGTCATGAATAATTCTTACTAATTTAAGTCCTAAAGAACAAATACAGCTATTGAAGTAAATCATTCATTTCTGGCTCACTGACAGGAATTAAATATTCTGCAACTGGAACTTGGATAACAATATTGTTTATGATGCTTAACCCTAGTTCCAGCTGCAGAATTTCTATTAGTGATGGTGTGAAAGCCAAAAGGAACCCAGCTTGACTTTGAGATGCTAGTTAAGGCTTGCAGAGCTGGCAATTTGAAAAGCAATGGCTTTATGTTTGTAGTGTTTTTTGACTTACAGTTGTTCCCACATGTAACGATAATTAATAAAACAGTTCACAAGTCACTTGATAGCATCTGATACATATTGAAGATTGCTTTTATTGATTTTCATATTGGCCCATCCCCCAAGTTGGAAAAGCAACTAACACTAAACATGGTACAAGTCACTGAAGAATTTATGTCTCCATATTACCTTTTTTCCAAATAAAAATTACAAAAGAACGATGCAGGATGTCAACATGCAAATATTATTGGTGTTTACATACTTGTTGTAATTACTGGATGAAGTCTCATTGAAGGATTTTGCCACTAAAACTACAAGTCAGGATTTCAACTACTATCTTTATAAACTAAAATAGTTTATTGCAACTTTCAATAGAGATTTTTGGGCTGATACCAATGGCCAATTTTTAACAAGCCATATCAGCTGATACTGATCCAATTCCAATACGCAGCCCTGCAGTGTGGAGAGCAGTGTCTGACTGCTAAGTCTGCTGTGGGGGAAAGGATGGGGAGAGGGACAGACAATGGGGGGTGAGGGGCAGATCAAGGACCCTGTGGTGAGGGAGGGAGTGGGGCTGGGGCAGGCACTGCTCAGCCAGGGGAGAGCGGGGCACAGGACAGAGCCATAATTCATCCAGGGGGTGCAGGGCGGGGACAGCACCCACTGCTACCCCTTCCCAGCGCTGCCACTGCCCACTCTGAGCGCAGCTTGTCCCAGCACCAGGCAGGAAGAGCCTGGTGCTGCCCCAGCCCCCCTCACAGCCTGCCGCCCCCCTCACGCACATCTGGGGGGCATATGCCCCCCCGTGCCCTCCTGGGGTGCATGTAGCAGAGGGAGCTGCCCCACCCCCACAACCCCTGGACGAGTTGCAGCTCCATTCATGCCTCACCCTGCCCCCTTCCCTCCCTGCGGGGGCCTTAATCTCCCCCCCAATCCATGCCCCTTTCCTCCCCCCACAACAGACTTACCAGCTGGACCCGGCTGCACTCCATGCTGCCAGGCTGCGCTCCTGGCCAGCTGTGCAACTGCATACGGCATTTATTGGCCATATTATTGGCCACATCAGACAAAAAAGCAGACTGCCAATGCTCTCAATTTCCATCATATCAGTGCTGATCTGACATGGGACCGATGTATCAGTGTACCTCTACTTTTCTTTGTTACCTTGCAGCCCATGTTCTTAGCAGCAGTATCCAACAAAGCTAATCACCATTTTTGTGGTGGGAATGGAGGTGTTTTTTGATGAAGTATTTAACTACTGAGAAGGACTCTTACATGCAAAAGCTCTTCAAAATACTTTTCTATATTGTGTAATAGTTGCTTATTTCTGCATTTATAAAGTGCTCCAGGACACAGGAAAAATATCAGCATAAACTATGATTTCAGCCTCTCATTTTCACTGATGTGACAGACTAAAGATATTAAATGCGTCTGTTTTAAGTTTGAATCTATTAGAGCTCTGCAGTTTGAATGTATTGCTTAATCCATGCATAACAACTGTTAAATCAAGTACCTACATGAATTCACTATCTGAGGTGTACATGCATCTTTGATGCACTCTCTCAAACAGCATGCAGTGTTGTTAAGAGAATATCCTCCAGTCTAGAACCTACTTCCCATATTGAACCAAACTGCTGGCGTTCAGGGGACAATGTAAATATGTTCATTCACGTGTTTCTAACAGGTTAGAACAGGGATTGGCAAGCCCTGGGACGCATGCCAGAGCGTGGCACATGAGATCATTTTGCTTGGCATGCCACAGCTGGCCCAGACTCTGGGCAGCTACAGCAGGTGATGGGCAGCCTGCAAACAGCTGCAATGAGGTCCGGAGCCCTGGCATTGGCTCTGTGGTAGCGGCAGAGGTAGCTGCATGCATGCCGCAGGTTGCATGGCTGGGAAAGGGTCTGGGGCAGTGCAATCCCAGCCCCTCCCCTGTTATCCACTGAGAGGCATGCGTGTCCCTGCTGCCAGCAACTAGGACCAGACCCCTTCGGGGTCCCACACCATCTGCCTCTGGTACACCCAAGTCAAGGCGTGGGTGGAGGTTGGGGTGTTTTTGGCACTCCAGCCAAAAAAGCTGCCAACCCCTGGGTTACAAGATAAGCACAGGGGGGCATGGGTTTCAACAGTTAACACATTTGATTTCTATAGGAGTTGTGTCCTTTTCCACTTCAGAATTCAAATTTAGAGCTTGTTTAATATGAACATTTTTTAAAAGTAACCCCTCCAACCACGAAATAAAACAAACCCCCTTCCAATCACCTACACACATACCATATTAAACCCATGTTCAAAGTAGTGCAAAATCAAACATGATTATGAAGTTTCATCTGTTTCTTTTCTCCTGAAAATCAGCAAACTGATTGCTAAAATGGATCATCTTATGTGCAATGTAAATGTTAACATGTTGTTAATCTTAATCTCTTAAACTTGCAATAAAATAGACTGGATAGAAAGCTTCATAAATAAGACGCAAAGGCTGCAGATGAAAAATCTAGTAAAAACAGTTATAAAATATTAAATTATACTCCAGCAGTTTTTGAGTAAAATAAGAAAAAAACCCACCCTGTTAATGCATATATACTATAACCTCATGAATCTGGCTTGCTTGGGATCAAGCACCTAGCGGAAATGTGAAAATTCCCGATTTTTGAAACCAGAGTGGTGGCCGGTCCCAGAGCAGAGGGGATGGGGGGAAAGGAGGGGTAGTGACGGCCGGTCCCAGAGCAGCACTGGTGCAAGGTGATGGATGGCAGCAGCAGCCGCCTGCAAGTTTCCCCCTCCGCTGCTCTGGGAACGGCCGCCGCTACTGCCTGATGGAGCGTAGTTTTAAAAAGGGCTGGATTTTCGATATCCGGATTTATGACGTTATACTGTTTGTGGATGATGTGAAAGATGCTTAAGTATAGGCAGACTTTATTCTAGGGATCTGGATTTTAACTCTCAGAACACCAATGAAGGACAGAATGCTAGAAGTAAAAACCTGCTTTCTTCCCCCTCCCTTTCCTGCTTTACCTTTTGTCTTTCTAATTTCTACCTGTTTACAGTCTCACTGATATCCTGTTGCACTTTCAGCTTTTCTCATTCTTTGGAGTCTCACACCACCAGAGACTTCCTATGCCTGAAGCAGGGTAACTGTGCCTGAAAGCTTGCTAAGAACTTTTTCCCAACTACTCAGTTGGTCTAATAAAAGATATCACATCTACTCAAAGAACCTGGCCTGCCTATGTCCTTAGACCAACACAGCTACAGCCAAAAACCTAGGGAAACAACAGACATTCCTAAAAACCTCCAAGCCTTCTACAGCCGGCATGGCAGGCTACAGCTGGTGTGCCTTGAACAAACTATGTGAAACTCAGTTATAATTAACCTTTCCACCAAAAGAAAAGAGAGCCTCATTCAGCCACGCATTCATTTAAACTCAAGGATTTTATGGTGGTATTTAACAAAATGAATAGTGTACAGTGAGCAGCCTTAATTAAGGGCACCTTTCCATTTCCTGTATTTAGGATAGCATGTTGCAATCCACGGAAAGGGAAGACGGTACAAATTTAAAAGAAAAAAAATGCTTACATTCAGTACATAAAATCAGCCTGTAGAATTCACTGTGTCAGGAGAAGATTGGAAGAAAGAATTTAGCAGGACTGAGAAGCAAGATTATGCAGCATTAAAAAACCCATCACTACTGCATAAACACTTTTAAACACCGATACACAGGAAGGATAACAACCTCATTTAAGGATACCTAAAAGTATTTATAATAGAATGCAAAACACTTTGCCACTACGTCCCTAATTTAAATAGGTCCAGGGATACTAGTTATCTGTGGTTTATAAGGACAGTCGAGCTCTTGCCCAGTTTCAAAATTATTTCTGTAAAATTAGTTACATTAAGTAATTCTACCAACTTTTTGCCCACCAGATTCCTGCTTGCTTTTTTTATTCAGTGGTAATTTGTTTCCCTCATGATGAAACCTACAGAAGCAAAGCTGAAATCTCAGTTGGTTCAGAGTTAGCACTGTACTGTTAAATCTTTGCTATTAACAACTATTTTGAGAGAAAAAGACTGGTAACTCTTTGGAGTAAAAGGTTCTCTTTCATTTACCTCTGGTACAAAAAAATGCCGAGTACTGAATGGGCAGAATGACAAGGATTTACAATGTTAAATGGATATTATTTATTAAATTCCGGCAACATACTCATACTTTATTACATATTGCTTAAGAAGCTGGAGTTCTGCACAGAAATCTGAATAAGAGCTAAATTAAATGTTGTAAGGTATTACGAAGTAGATAAATATTATCTGCATTTAAATGGGAGGGGTGAAGGGAAGGCAAGCGGAGAGAAGGGGGAAACTCAGGGCATTCTGACACATGCTCCTGGAGATGGCTCCAGGTGCTTTTATTAGCGAGTTGCACTAATAGTGCTTTTGTATCACGTGCATCAGTGTCACCACACGTCCCCATCTTGAAAAAATGATGGTAGGGCACTTTGAACTAAAGCTCATCGGATGTTTTTTATTTCAAAGCACACTGGCGCCATTTTGTCAGCACATGATGCGCGAGGCTGCCGGAGCTCATCAGC